AAAGAAATAATTTATAAATTAGCCCAAGGCAAATTCTAATGGATGATACATATTCAAGCGCATCCATCTGATTCAATCCACCAATGCTATATCATCGGGTCATGCAACTTCCGTGACCTTTGCTTCCATGACCTTTACAATCATGTGTTTGCCAAAGAACATCCACCAGCATACCAAATACGCTGTTGAATGATTATCATTTTAAGCTTGTCTAAACCAACATTTATATCATTTAAGCTATAGCTTGTTTAGTTTGCATATCATTTAGTTCCGGTTATATATACCTTCATTCGAAACAAGAAATGGAATATTGTTAAGCTGTAATCCATCCGTTCTAATTAATCGATTTAATAGCCACCATTTCATGAAATCCGGAACAGTATTATTTATTTTTCGGACTATTTTTGGGAGCAAAAATATGATCCATTATGTTATTTAATAAAAACTATCATTGGGGATAGTATCATGCAAATGTAAAACAATATTTTAATACTTCAAATTTGCCATTTTGAATAGAATAACTCGAATTCATCAATTCGATCATTTCAAATTTGTCATTTCAAACGGATCATTTCGAATTTATCATTTCTAATCAATCATCTCGTTGTTATATTTCGATAATAAGCACATTTTGTTTCTGTTAAGAAATACCGTTATTGATAAAATAATTAATTAAAATGATTAAGGGGAAAAAAAATTAAATGAAATGCAAAACATACATAAAATCAACAGTTTGTTATCATTTGCAATGTTGATTTGTTATCTTCCATCATCTTACAATAAATGAAAATAAAAATTAAAATTTTTTTATTGTCAAAAATTTTCACCAATAGGCTTTGATAATTCTCTCCTTAACTAAATATGTTTGTCATTAAAATTTAATGAAATAATCAATCAATAATTCTAAATAATATCACAAAATTTGTAAAAATTTTCAAAACTTTCAAAAATTTCTAGAAATTTCACATTTTTTTTTCGATTTTGAAAAAAATTTTGAAAAAATTTAATTTATCATAATTATCATTATTTACTAGCTTTTATCCTATAATTTCACAAAATTTTAATATTTCCAATAATTATTTAAATTATCGAAAATTTCGAACGTATATTTTGCAACACATTTGCGTTCCGATAATCATTGAAAGTCTTGAAAAATCATCGTAAAACTTTTTAAAAAATTTTTTTAACTTAAATTAACATTTTAAAATATATAATATTTTTTTATTTCTTAATAAATTTTTGTTAAAGGAAATAAAAAATAAAATTTATGCAAATTTTCCAAAAACATTTACAATCATTAATAAGCATAGAATGAAGGCTTCTTATCTTATACGTATATGCATATTCTTGACTATAAATTATATGTATAACAAATTATTGTACCACTATTAACGTTGTCACGTTATATTAACGTCACCCTTGTTGACGTTATCACGTACGTGATAATACGTACACAGTCTCATTTTTTATTTAGATTTAGTAAAATGATTTAAAAATTAAAAAAAATCATTTTATTATTTACTATTCCTTTTACTTTTCTAATAATTATTTTTCCATTAAAATTAAATTATTTAATTCGTATAGTGCCAAGATTGTTAGTTGGTGACAAACCATCCATCCATATGGTGACAATATGATTACAGCTGAACAAACTGAACAATAAATATGCTATTTTTATCGATATTATACAAATACAATCCTTTTTGTAAACATTTACTACACATTAATCATTTGCATAAAAGTAGCAGTTAGTTAAACAGTCAAGCAACATCAACTAAATTTGTAATATCGAATAATTAATTAATTAATTATTTAATTTCTAAGCCATTATCAATATGTTCATCATTATCCTCTTCCTTTTTGCATCGTTGGTAACAATTTCCAATGCTACGAATGATTCAATGCGTAAGTATTTCATTGTTTTATTTTTATAAATTTTTATTTTTTTTTGATACTTTTCCCAATTTTTTTTTCCCTAAATTTTATTTTAAATTTTTATCAAAAATTTTTTGAAAAAACAGTTAAGGATAAGTTGATAGCAGTAATTATTTCCTTAATACAATTCGTTATACTGAAGCTAATTAAGGATTAGCTGAATCCCAAATTCGATAATCAAATATCTGAAATCGCAGGAGGAAGAACTTTTCTTCTTTTTAACTTGATAATCAAATTATACTTTTGCTTTTAATTCACATGTAATCAAACAATCATCAAAAAAAAATTTTTTTTGAAAAATAAATTAAATTTTTGATTTGTAACATTTCCGCCTAAATTCAACTTATTCAACTTTCTCAAATTTTTGCCTAAAAAGTTGAAAAAATTCCTTATCAAATAATAATTGAAAATGGAAATTAGCTAAAATATCTTTTTTTTTTTCCATCAAACAAAATACGAAAATAATTTTCTCACAATTTTACATTAGTTGTAGGATTGTATTATCAAAATATTGCAGTGATATATCATTAATCAATTAAAATAGTTTCTAGTCATTTATTCACAGAATTTACAAAATTTTACAAATTAAAATCAAATATTTAAAAAAAAAGGAAGAAAGAAGATTGCATTAAATTGCTTTGATAAATTTGATGATAATGGATGAGTTTGTCCAAAAATAAATTCAAATGATTGAAGTTTAAATGTCAAATTAAAGTTTAAATATTAAATTTTTAATTTGAATTATCGTCACTTATTAAAACTATTAAAAATTATTAAAATATGAATGAATAATGAATGTGAAATGGTCATTTAAAGCTGTGGAAAATGTCGAATGTGTCGAATTTACTAAATAATTTTAATTTTTGTATGATTAAGAAAAAATAAAAGATTAAAAATTATTCTTAACTATTTCAGCTTGTATAAATAACCATTGTCCAAATTTTTACACATGCAATATGGCGGAAAATGTGTGTATTCAAAATGATAAAGTTACACCTGTGTTACTGTAAGATTTTATTAAATTATACTTTCAATGTAATTAAATAATCAATTTTAAATTAATTTTTAAATTTCAATATTTTATCGTTATTTTCGTAGCTAAATTTGAAAAAGTTGCAAAATTTTATCTAATTATTTGTTATTTTTTTTTAAATTTGAAAATTGACTTTATTTTTGCTTGCAAATTCTTTTTTTTAAAAAAAAAACTTAACAAAATGAAAAACATTTCATTATTTTTGCTGAATTATCTTAAATGTGAAATAATTATATTTAAGATTTTCGAGAATTGTTATTAATTAAAATTCATTCCATGAATTTGTTGTTTTTTTTTTTATTTTCAGTTCTGAAAAACATGAAGACATGTGACAGACATATGAAGCGCAATCGGTTAATGTCATCCGAACATTTCATTTGTTTCTGCAATGATACTTTAAAATTATATAATATCAGTTACTTCCTCCTTTCATTATCCATTTAAATACATTCATCATTGCTTTCTATTATAAAATGAAATTTGTCCGAAATTTAAATCCTTCTCTTACAATGAATTTAATTTGCAAATTACAATTGTCAAATTAAAAATGAATTTGTGAAATGTTTTAATTGTCTATTTTGATTACATATATAGCACAATTCCTTTTTTTTTCCTCATAAATTCCAATTTGAACAAGTTTTCAAATAATAAATTATATCAAAATATTGTATTGAACGTCTAATTATGTTTCTTTTGTTTTTCGTTAATTATTGATTTGTTAAAATTTATTCATTTTTACTACAAAAACTATCCTATTTAAATGTAAGAAATAATTTTTGCACAATAAATATTTGTAATTAAAAATGCAAAAATGTTGCACGTACATGTAACTGAAAAAGATAACAGATTAAACCTGAAATTAAGTACCACATGAATTGATTATGTCACACTGGAAAATAAAATAATCAGGTTAAGCTTGAATTTAAACACCATTACGAATTGATTGTATAACACTAAGAAATAAGGTGATAGATTAAATCTAAAATCAAGTATCGTACGAATTAATTATGTCACAAAGAGGTAAAATAACAGGCAGCTTAAACCTGAAATTAAGTACCATACGAATTGACTGTGTCACAATGAAAAGATTTGACATTTTTGGTTAAATGTAATGGCAAAACAAAGCAAATATTTCAATGTTCAATAACTTCTAAGTTTAATTTTAAATTATTTTTTAAATTTTAAATTAAAAATGAATTCATGGTGAAGATTTCGGGGTAAAGAAAAAGCAAAAAGTAAAACATTTTGCTGCTTGCATTAGATGGTGTAGTGGTTAAAAGGCTCTCATTTCAAGGAACAGAGCAATGCATGTTCGATGCCGTGCTGATGACTTATTGAACTCTCTCTGTGAACAAAATTGTAATGATTTGGTTTACTTACCTACATTATCTGAACGGTATACGGTGACGTGAAAATGCGCATTTTGTGTTTTAATCAAGAGGAAGTGAAAGAAAATACTAAAATGTGAGGATGTCGCTAAGTCAGGTGGGCTTTTTCACGTAACACGTGATCGTTTCACGTTTCATTAGGATGCCAAAATTTACTGTGTTATAAATTGATTTCTATAGTTTATAAGCTATTATGAAAATGTTAACGATATCCGCAATTTTGAATGCTATTAATGCCAATATGAACAAATAATCTTTATAGGATTATCGATTTTGTTTTTTTTTTTTTTTTTT